TTCAAGCTTGTTTAATCCTTCACAGTGAGCCTTTGAAAACAGTGTTCCACAACTTTGAAGGATAAATCATATATGAGGATCAAATATGGCAATTTTTGAATTATGACAGTGTCAAGAGACAGCCCCTTACCACAGTGGTAGGTACCCACAAATCTGACTTTGAAAGAGGAGCTGTTATTGGAAACCAAAGGTACAGCCATGTGTAAAGTGGAGAGTTTCCCTCTCACACACACACGCATCAACCCAAGCGCAACCATGCTCTGTGACCTGAAGAACACATCTAGCACTGGTAACAAGGCCCATATGCAGTCACTTCCTCCCTCTGCCACCCCAGTCTGAGGAGCTTAAGTTTACAAGTCCACGGAATCCATTGATTGACTCTTCAGAGGATGAAAAAGGATACAAATCTCAAGTTACCGAAAAATCTCCCTGTACAATAACCTTTTTCTCTAAAATGTTGATGTGCACAGCTGTTCCCCTCCCACAAATCCCTCAGTTGGTCATTTGTGTTTGGAATAATAAATGTTGTTTTTTTTGCAGTAAGTGTCCTCACTAGCTGAATGTGAATATTCATAGGGATGAATGTTTTTCGGCACCTGAGAACTTTGAATAAAAATGAAAAACAGATTAAGCACTTACCAATCACCCCTTTACTCTCTTGAATACAATTAACTTTCCTGAAAAAAAGTGATCAAGTCTTGAAAATCAGGCAAAACTCTCCTACTTCCAGAAAGACGAATTATGTGAAACTATCCCCTGGGCTTTGTATCTATGCTGCTTAGAGCTGTTGACAATATAACTAGTGTGCATATTGGAACATTCACATGAACGTATTGTTCCAGGACCGATAATTGTGGATGATACCCACAACCCACTGGTTGATATTTTCCTATCCAGGCTGTTTGGATCCAATTTTTACAACATAAACATGTTTTTATAATCTGGGAGGCTCCGAGAAAACACAATTTACTGCCAGTCATCAAATGGAATCACAGCAGAGTGTTGACGCGATGGCACTTTCTGTCAGCGGACAAAACACTAAATGCATCTAAAAAATGGCTTAGTTCAAGGTTGGTTTGAGTTGTGGACATATGTCAGAGGATTTGTGATGCATTTTTCTCAACTATTGTTGTGTTTGTTTATTACTGTACTAAAAGCTTTACAGTCATTCATAATACGCAGCGGACAAAACACTTGCACAATTCACAGCTGTGCCACATTTTGTGGTCTCTCATCCTTCCTTGTGGGAATCTGTCTCTGGTTGTGTTGTCACTTCACAGCAATATAAAAGTGTCGTGCCAGAGCAGGACTCTTCTATACCATGGCTCGTATTGAATCAGAGAAACACATGTAAACAGTTCCTCCATAGTTTGCCATTACACAACAGACAGCAACTGATGATTGTTAGATAAATAATTTTGAGTCTGGATGTTCCTATGGAGCAATATCCCAATCTGGAATCTGTAGACCCGCGCGTTTGTGTCCATCTGTGATTAGAAGTATCTTCTGATGGATTGAGTGATTTATGTATGTGCGCACATCTGTTTGCAAGTATACTTACATTTAAAGCGACATGAAGTCATATATCTGAGGAACTGAGCTACAAAAAACCCTATTGCATTTAAATGTACAAACACCCAGTGATAGATTAATGAAGCTGCTATGATGCGTGACGTGACAGAAACTTCAGGGAACATCAAATGTCACATTCAAATCTAATATTCAGTATGGAGATGTTAACACTCTTGTGCACTCGTAGATTTTTTTTACGGTTCATATCAAATGGAAATAACTTTTTAAATGTTATTTAAAGGACATCCGGACATTGGAAAAGTCAGGCCTCGTTCATCATGTGCTTTGGTCCGGGTCCAGCTGAGAGCATAATGGGGAGCACACGGCCCGACAAATGAGAGCCGATTCAGATTTTAGGTCAGAGAAAGAGAGAGAGAGACCTTTTGATTCCATGGGAAGACAAGTCAGCGCGCTGGGAAAACAAACAGAGGTTTGATGTGTATGAATAGGCTCTTTTTCCTCATCTAGGCTGTCTTGTTTCTCCATCTAGTGGTGAAAAGGAGACAGTTCTGCAGGAACTATATGTGCTGTGCAGGAAAACCTGTTACCTGGCTCAGAGTATATTTCTTCACATTTAATTCAGACTGCATGAAAATGATCTGTTCAGTAGTTACATGCTCCTGGAGAAGCGGAGCTCATTTTATTCTGTAGCACTGTCTCTGTGTCGACGTTCAACCAAAAGGCGTGTTTATGATACATATGATCTCCTTCATAGACCATCATTTAATGTGGAGTATACTTTATACCTGTACTCCAATTTTAAGTACTGGCTAATTACTTCTCTCAACCCACCACAAGAGGGCAGTGCACGATTACTGCTTAAAGAAAAGGGGCAATCAGGTAAATGTTCCTCAAGGTCAACCTTACGCCTCGGTCTGGTCATTTGGGCAGGTAAGAGGCTGCCCAAATGACCAGCATTACAGAGTGAGACCATTTCATGGTGGGGCAACTCTCTGATAACAAACATAAAATGATGGAGATGTCCCCAAGAAGTGGGATACTAGAACAAAAGCCCACTGACCGAAAGGGCACATCGATTAGAGGAATCTAAACATCATTTAAATTCCTCCACAGCGAATCCATTTATTCAATTATGGCAAAGATCACCTTATTAAAGGAGCAGAGCGTTCACTCAGAAAACCACAACGCTTACGGTTTGCTCTCTTAATTCCAATCACATCGGCTGAGACTAAGGGGGCTGTTGGCAGTGGAAGGAGACATCATTATTAATAAACCCCTCACTGGCACAAACACACACACACACACACGTTTGTACAGAAGCAAAGCAGACACCATGTCAGAGAATGACAGACAAGAGTTGGTCTGTCTTTGGCTGGGACTGCGGTGGTTTGCAGCGTTTGCTCACATGGCGGCTTACGCACACACACACACACACACACACACACACACACAGAGGGAAGCCATCTCTGAACCCGTCCACAAGAAAGGGATCTGAGCTGCGGAAGAGCTGAGTTTGCCGCACAGACGCACACATACACACACTGAACGCCTGCGCCCCCATTGGTTGACGTCTCTCCACCCCACCGCGGGAGTCTCTGAGGGGTCTGCTGCAGCACTCTGCTCCAGGGGCCTGGAAACACTGGAGCGAGCCTCCCCCCCCCCCCCCCCCCCCCCCCCCCCCCCCCACCCCCCTTTACTTCTATTTTTGGGCTGCATATCCAACATCATGAGCCTCCCTCATTTTCCACAGCTTTCCGGCATACTGGTTCCCAGTGTTCGTGGGCTTACGCGGCTCCACTGGCCGATAGGAACAGCGGCCGGGCCTGTTGTTAGCCGAGGCAACATGATACCAGCGAGACAACAAGAGAATCTGTGCAATGAGCTAGTGAGGAAGGACGCATAAATCGTGCCTCCACTGCAGGGCCCAGGGGCAGCAACCCAGTGCTCAGCCAGCCATGTAGACTCAAGCCACAGCTAAAAGAATTTGGAAAGGACCCTTCCTGCCGCCCATCCCCCATACGGAAAGACACGGCTGGGCTCCTCTCAAGCAACTGAGGTTTCAGAGAGCACAGTTTTGTAGTATTAGGCCACGTCCGAAAGGTTTCACGCTACAATTCTGCCCCATTTTTTAAATCAGACCGACAAATAATGTTGTTTATATATGATTAGTAACACAATTTTTTATTGTATTTAAATGACAGCGCCACACGCCCCTGCAAATAAATGCTCGGCTTCAGCTCAAACTTATCTTCAAACTCATCTTTAGCTCAAACATAAAAGCTATTCAGAGCCTTTTCATCATTTATCAGGGATCATTTGAACCTATTACAGTGAATAACTTTAGTTTGTTAATAATCTCATAAGGTAAATTGCATGGGGATATGAGCAGAACATGTGAAGAAAACATGTCATTGTTTTTTAGTATTTGTTGCTAAAATGAGATAACTTTAGGGGCACTTCTAAAGTGTATGGGAGGGCCTTTTTTTGGACCAAAAATTGACATCAGACTGTTGCAGAGAGGTGGACTGTTTGTTCCTGCCACTATTGTTATCCAGGAGAGCTTAAACTTCAGATCTGGAGTAAAACACAAGAGTATCTGCCCACATTCATAAATTAGAGGGAGGTCCCTAATTCTACAATAGCCTATAGGGCTTCAGATTCATGTAGGAACCTGTCAGAGGGAGGAAGCATGTTTATGAATGAACATACTGCTTGTCTGCCCGAGTTCACGGAGCAGTCCGGTAAGCAGTGGGATGAAAAAGGAGACCGGCTGTATCTCACTCACGTGTGAGTTGTTGTTTTTTTTTTAAAACAACAACAACTCATTTCCTTTTGAGTGCATGCACACTGCAAAAACGTGAATAAACTTCCCACACAAACACATCCACGCTCGATTTGAGTGGGCCATCCATCGCCAGTTTCCAGTTTTTTTTTTTTTTTTTTTTAAAGTTTTCCCTCAAAAACTTTTTTGGGGTTTTACCCCCTTTGACTGACGGGGAGTTTTTTTTTTTTTTTTTTCTTTCCCTCCCGACTGGGATTTTAAGCTGTGGTTTCTCTATCTCGGCGACCACGGAAAAGGGTATCCGGCTTATTGATGGCGGCGAATGCCAGCGGGCATTAGAACAGCGAGCGGCCATCTGCCAGCCTAGCGAACTAGCAACCCCACCAGCTGCAGTCGCAAAACGCCCTACAAAGCAGGACATGCATGCAGCTTCTGACGTCTGCGGCCACACTGCGCTACAAAGCCCAGAAAAACCAGGAGCGGAAACAATGAGATCCAGCCTCATAGACGCCGCATAGGTCCGCCACCGGCAAGTTTGTTTGGCTTTTTTTTTCTGGGGGGGGGGAAGAGGTGCTGCCGTTAAGTGCTCATCAGTTCGTTTCGGATGGCCGGTTTGTGCGATTATTTTTACGCGGCGGGAAAAAAAATCGGAAAGACTCATGCAGGGGCACTTTAATACCCCGACATGGCGACGGCAAGAAAAGGGAGAGAGCTTTTTACTATTTTGGAAACTAGCGCGGACACCGAAAGTGCCACGGAGTGCGACAGCCAAGAGACTCCGCTTAATCTTTCGGCCGACGTGAAGTGGTTTGAAATTCCCTTCAGAAAGCCGGACTCGGACGAGGAAGACGAGGCGCGGGAGGAGGAGGAGGAGGAGGAGGAGGTCGGCGAGGGGGAGAATGGCTTCGGGAGCTCGGCTGCGGACGCGGCCGGCTTCCTCGCGGGAGGAGGCTGCAACATAATTCTGGTGACCGGCAGCAACGGGCTCAAGCACGACGAGGAGGACCACGCCGAGGACTGTTATTATTCTACCTCCACCAACTGCTCCGACACAGCCTCCAACGACTCGGATATCGATTTCTCCGATTTGGAGGAGGAGGAGGAGCGCAGGAGTTTTTTCGGCTTCGGAGAGGATCTGGACGAGGACTGCACTTCTCCCGACTTCTGGGGCGAGCCCGACCAGGTGATCTCCATCGAGCCTTTCTCCGCCGTCAGTGGCCCTCAGTACTCGCTGGGGGACGATGCTGACACCCGCGACTATTTCCGGATACTCTTCCCAGATTCTCTTTTTGAACACATGGTAGAACAAACAAACAATTACGCCCTCTATCGGCAAAGGAGGAGCGGAAAATCCGACCCCCACTGGCACCCCACGGATGTCAGGGAGATGAAAGCCTACGTGGGCCTGAACATTCTCATGGGCATCAACCAGCTGCCAGACACGGGCATGTACTGGGCCAGTGACATTTTCATAGGCAACGCCGGCTTTAAGAAAACAATGACGGCCCGGCGCTTTGAGAAACTCACCCAGTACCTCCAGCTGTGCGACCGCGAGTCGGAGCCCGTGCGCGGGGAGCGCGGATACGACGGCCTATTTAAGATTAGGCCTCTCCTTGATGTGGTGGAGAACACTATGTGGGACGCGTACACGCCCAACCGCTGTCTAACCATAGATAAGTGTGCCATTGTCACTAAGGGACGTTACTCTCCCACCCAGTACATGCCCTCCAAGCCCCTCAGGAAGGGGCTGACCATGTGGATGCTGTGTGACTCCCGCTCGGGCTACTGCCACCGGGCCAAGATCTACGTGGGCAAGCCCAGCGAGGAGGAGGCCGCCGCCTCCTTAGGCTACAGGGTGGTGACCTCAATGGTGCGCGGCCTGGAGGGTCAGTACCACCACCTGTTCATGGACAGCTTCTTCACGTCGGTGCCTCTGCTGCAGAGGCTGCTGAGGGACGGGCTGTACGCGTGCGGGCCCACTCAGCCCGGCCGCAAGGGCTACCCGGAGGTCCTCCGCCCTCGCAACGTCGGGAAACTGTGCCAAGGCGAGTTCTACCAGTGCCAGCGCGGCAACGTGGTCGCCACCGTGACGCGGGATGTCAAGATGGTCAGCTGCCTGTCCACCAACTGCGCGCCGGGGATCGTGGGCATCAGCCCGGGGCGGCAGCAGCCGGACGCGGACGGGGAGGGCGAGAGCGACCACGCCGACAACCCGGGCCTGGCGTTCGGCGTGCCGCGGCCGCTGCCCCTGCTGCTGTACCAGGAGAACATGAGGGGCGTGGACCTGTGCGACCAGCTGCGGGAGTGCTACCAGGTGGGCAGGCCGTGCAAGAAGTGGTGGCGCTACTTCCTGTGGTTCTACGTCAACCTGTGCATCGTCAACGCCTACGTGATCCTGAGGGAGAGCCGGGGGGGCGCTCCGCCCGCGGGCTTCAACGGCAAGCACTTCACCCAGCGCCACTTCCGCGTGCGCCTGGCTCAGCAGCTGATCGGAGACTACCAGGGCGCGCGGGGCATGGAGCGGGCGGCGCGCAAAAGACACGCGGACTCCCCCATCGAGTACGGACATCGCCTGGAGCGCATGTCGGAGCGCTCCCGCCGCTGCAGGAACTGCACCAACAAGGGGCTGCGCCACGAGAGCGTGTTCGGCTGCAAGATATGCAATGTCCACCTATGCAGGGGCGGGTGCTTCTCTGAGTTTCATAAATAAAAACTGAACAATCTTTTTTTTTTTTTTTTCCTTTTCTATCCTTTGTGTAATCAAAGATACCCGTGTCAATTTTTTTTGTTTTTCTTCAAACGGTAAAAAATATTTGTAATTCCAAAGCTTACCACTACGAGTGCACAATATATTCACACACTTTACGTAGAGCTAGTGTTAGGTTAGGTATTATTGCACGTGTATTAGAGAAAATACTCCAACAAACTGTAGATCATTTGGATTAGTGTAGAATGTTTTGGCAACTTGCCTTCTGTAACACTGACATAATTGCCTTGTCACTTTTTTATACGCGTAAGATATGGTAAGGATTTTATATGGAAATGAAGAAATTAATTGTTTCTGCACTTACAATAGAACAGAACATATTTACATTTGGAAATGTATTTCTCTCTTTTTACAAAATAAAGATTTCATTATGAGGAATTTAATCAACCCACCTCTCTTCTTAGAAAAACTCAAAAAGAGGCACAAGCAAATGCAAAAGCTCTGTTTTTTTAACCAGAGCATCGATAAACACTCTTTAAAATTTTCATTTGGTTCTTTTGTGAAAATCCGTGCAACTCTGGGCCTTCAACCGGACACAGCTTGGAGTAATTAGAGAGTAGAAAAAGCTCCACAGCACTTTCCAGCCAATGGACCCAGAGATGCCATTACTCTCTGACCGCATCACAGACACGGAGCCATCTGTAGCCCGGCTACTTTAAGTCCAAACCCCATGGTGCTAACTGTCACCCACTGATTAAGAAATGAAGCATGCTTTTGGATAGAAGATTGACGGTTTATAGGTGGCCGCAAGGTTGAGGACGCTCGGTTGAATTGGGTAAAAAAGCCTTTGCAAAGTTAGCCCGATCAGACTGAAAGCTGCTCTGTTAGCACAGCTGAATTGAGAAACATTTCCGAGTTGTTCCGGGTAATTTTGGCATAAGCCTGGCTCTGTTACGGGACGACGGGGCTGTAGGCAGGCAGAGACGGGCCGCTTAGGCGGGTCAGACTACCCGTCTCCTGTGTGTCTTCATCTAAGGCCTCACTGGCAGTCTATCTATCTCTCTCCCTCCTCAGGCTCTGCTGTACCATCCTGCACACACACACACACACACACACACAAAAGCACGCACACAAACACTGCCGGCAGCACACTTACACACACACACTCACACACCCTCCCCTCCCTTCGCTCGACTCTCTTGCACTCCCTCAGCCGTTTCCCAGCTGGGAGAGGGTTAGTCAACTGGACGCCCATCCTGCTGATCTGTGGGAGCCCCGTGGGGAGTTGCCATGGCAACCGTGGCTGATGAAGACAGGGAGTCGCCAGCAGGCCCACATGGTTGTCATGGTACTCACTCTGGCTACGGAGATGGGAGGTACCAGAGGCCACACCTCCCTACTCCCCTCTCTAAAACTAGGGAGGGCTGTGGTGTGTGTGTGTTTGTGTACGTGTGTGTGTGTTTTCTCTTGTGTGTGTATGTTTGTGAAGAGAGCTGGCTGGCTGACAACGTGCACACCCTACGCAGAGCCAGAATGGTTACCAGGCAGGCTCTGCGAGAGCATAGCCAAGATCACGACTACAGCCAGAATGAAACCAAAATTCTGCTGGTCAGATGTCTTCATGCAGCTGTTGGTGGGGTTAAAAAAATCTGTCCCACTGTGCTTCACAGCACTTATCGTTTATTCTCATAGAGTCAGATCAGGCAGAATTAGCTGTTCCATGTAAACTTCCAGTCAAAGGTATGCGCGTTATTAAGTAAGAATAGGTGGATCCAAACTTTTTGTTTATACTCTTTGGATACATCTTCCATGATCAATTTAGAAGATTAATCTGTCAAATTATTCTGTCAAAGTTACTTACACAATCTTCTAAATCAAAAGCATTTTTTGTCAAATGTATCCCTGTAAAAACATATAATTTTCCAACAGATGGATGTAACACATGATGGATGGTCTATTGCGACAGATTATTAGTTTAATTTTCCAATCACTTGAATAGCAGGGCAGACATGTACACCAGAACAGTGGAATACGAAGCCAGTGTTGATGGGAGCTTTTGTATTATTAATGATGAACTCAAGAGTTGATCACGGCTCCTTTCTGTCCCTTTTGCTCTTTTTTTGACAACTCTATCGTCTCTCTCAGACCAGACTAAGATCGTACTGTGTGTGGTGTCACAATGGCCATTTGATGTTTCCAGCAGGGGATCCCAAATACAAAATGCTCAGTTTCTCAACTTGTTTCCCACTTCTGGGCAAGGAAAGATCTCTGAGTTTCTGTCAGAAACAGGGGCCTGGTTCTACTTAAGAACAACTGGTTGGCCGACACATGTACTGTTTGAATCATGAATGCGTCTTTGTGAAATACTTTCCTGTTGCAAAATGAGTGCTTTGACAAAGACAAGCGTGAGAAAAGCTGTAAGCCATAATTCTCAGTTCTCTCATTCATTGTGTCTCTGCTGCTGCTGTGTGTGAATGACCTCCACAGGTGTTTCTGAGAAAGGAATAGTGACTTTAAACCTAAGTTGTTGATAATTGTTCAAAGTGATTTTTAAAAAATCAAATTGAACTCTTTTTCAACACATTAATGGAGAGAGAAAACTAAATTTACTCTTCTGCAGTTCAAGAACAATTCTGAGGTATTAGTACAACATTTATTACATCTTCATATCTGAAAGTGTATTCATCTAATCTACTATTTATTTTTCCTGCTGCATTTTGTTGCATTTTGTTGTTGTTGTTGTTTTAGTCTAAAAACAGCTTAATTTTTAACCAGATGAAGACAAGCAAGAACTTTCTTTCATAGTGATGATATATGTAATATTGTGTCTACTCTGTGAGTCGCTTTGGATAAAAGCGTCTGCCAAATGCATAAACATAAACATATGTACGTATACTTAAATATCATTACTTTTACTTTTAATCAATAATAATCCTGACCATTTTTAACACACTTGGATTAACACAGAAGTCAGAAAGAGAGAAAATGCTGTGGCTTGAATGTGTAACAAAGACTAAATCTGATTCTGACAACTGCAAATGAAAAGATCTTGCTTTGAGTAGCTATTCCACCCAAAATTGCAAATATACTCCCATAAGCTGTATTATTGGTTCTTCTTAAGTTTGTACATTCTTCTGATAGCCTTTTGTTCTGGATCTTGTCATTGTAGTAAATGAAATGATGGATGTTTAATAATTTTAGCATCTGTAAACTGACATCTTCTGCACTAATTATTTCATCCTATGCTTAATTATGAAATCACCTTAATAAAACCGACATCCCCATCTAGTGGACATGTGTGAATAATGTTAAAAGGAACAGAAAAGAACACAATAAACATATTACTAGATATGGTACATGATCAAAGCTTTTATTTCTGATTTGTTTGATCATGCTTTTCTCCTCTCCTCTAACATATCATTTTAACCTGTAAGCTTTTTAAACCTGGTGGATCTCTCTTTTTTTCGTTGATGAGGTTTATGTGAACCATGCAGGATGACCAAAGGGAGTTTGACTTCTGGGTCTTTCATCAGAGGAGCATCAAGAGTGATCTGTGGGGGTAAAAATAGATAAAGAATAAACAAATAGAATAATACTCACCACTACTCATTACTAACCTGGATTACTTAGATGAAAAGCAGTGTGAGCTATTTAACTGTCCAGTTTACACCACACACACACAGTTTACAGGCACATATGCTTTTCAGCAGATGGCATGACGGAACTGGTCGAGCTGTAATTTGATACTTTTTCCTTCCTGTACCCTAGAATCCGGTCAGGCCACAGGGCTCTTTACCCCTCCCTCCTCTCAATTTTCTCTGTCTCTTGCCTTCAGCCACTGCGTGGTGCTGTTTTCACAATAAAAACCTTCTGCTACTTACATCAGTTCTCCTATCCTATGCAAAGTGTTGATGACTTCTTTTTTTCACATGCAGGATTGAAGCATCATTGGAGTCTGACGTGAGACAGAACTCCAGTATGAGTATAGTTACCTTAATTTGATACTCCAGTTTCATCATACAGCAGTTGTAGAAGGTTGGGGGCAGTCCTGGAGGAATACTGAGAACTTTGGTCAGAACCTGCCTGCTCGCAGGTGGAACGGGGTCTCCCATTCCAAACAAGATGTCATTTGTGTGTACCGTCCTCCCCGTCGGTGCTACAAAGGTCTGCTTCTCACACAGGAAGAATTTGGGCGTGACTGGCCTCGCTGACTCATTGAGCACCTCCAGAAAAACTTGCATGGCCTCCCCTGATTAGATAAAAGGGGCATTACTTTTATCTAACTCGTGTCAGAACTTGTATATAAAAGGCAAAGCAGACATTAGGAGTGACATTTTATCACCTTGCTCCAAGCCCAATTTTTCTGAGGTAACGTTTATAGTAACCTTTCCAGAGCCAAATGAAATCCTTGTTGCATATTGTTGCTCCTACAGTAAAGACAGAAGCTTCAGACTGAGTGGAAATGGTATGAACATTTATATAAAAAATTACAAACATACAGAAAAGTATTTACCTACCTTAAGTCCAATTAAAATCATTTCTGATCTTGAGGCAAAGGGAAACTCAGACTTGGTCTGAAAAGGGAATTTAGTCTTGGTTTTGTGTACAAGCCAGATTGACTGAGTCAGCCGGGCTCGTAAACTATATGTGATCTCACCCCATTTCCCTTTATAAGTTGAAGGCATGTCACTGTTAGGAAAAAAACATAAGCAAAAGGCTTGAATCTTAGCACATATTAAGAAAGTGCTTAATATCAAATTCACCATAAAGGGGTACAACACATACTTATTAGGAATGTCAAAGCTGAATGGATACACATTTCTTCCAGGACCAATGATTTCTGAACCTTAAAAAAGAAACATTTTACATTTACATTAAATGTGCTCCTAACACCTACTTTTCAGATGACTGAACATTGATCAACACAGAGGCTTCATGTAAGAATCTCTCCTTAGTTTTTCCATAACATTTCAATACTAACCATCTCCTTTGTTTTTATCCTGTAGAATAATGTGCTCAAAGTAGAAGTAGTTCCTCTTGTTGCTGCGGACCACGGGAATTTCTCCATCTTGTTCACACCAAGTTACCTTAGATTTTCCTTTAGCTTTAACCAACAAACACTGCACTTTGATCTCTTTGCTGGTCACCACTGTTACTTTCCCAGATACAGCATCCCCAGGAGAGTAGGTGTCTTTCCCATCCGCCCTGTTGTATTCCAATGAGAAATGCTTCACAGTCATTACAGGACCAAATCAGATGGCTGTTTTCAGAGAATGTGGTGAAAGCATGAAGATTATCCTTCGCTGGAAGATGAACGTATGAGCAGGTCGGGAATTATCTACGGTAAACCTGAGGTGTATCCTTTTCCTGATGAAGGAGTTTGCTGGTGATGGTGATGCTGCAGATTTTTCCAGAACTGTGTAAGTGTGTCACACGCGATCATGTGATCAAGCATGTAGGTGTCATTTTCACACAGGTAACTCTATCCAGCAGTCTTGCAGGCTGAATTAGCAGAATAGAATGAACAGTGAGCTTTGGTGTATGTGTGCAGAGAGAGGGCTGTTCTTCGGTGAATACTAATGGAACAATGTGTTTGCCTCATTCCTTCAATTCACAAAAAATCCCAAGCACACAAAGTGTTTACAGCTACACCAGCCAAGACTTTGTACATTATTGATGATTTAAACTTTAGATCTGAGTACATTTTACAGGTGCCTGTCTTGCATTTGACTGCACCTCTGTAACAGCTGGAGAGGACAGGGGGGGGCATCCCTCACAACTGCCTCAAGATGACAACAAGTGGTATCATGACAACAATCACACTAGCCCTTTTACAAGAAAAGAAAAACTATCCAATTTCAATTCCAAAGAAACTACAGGTTTGCTTTATCTCAGAGTTTTTTTCCTTTATTTATTTTGCATTTCAGTGGTTTGTGTTAGCATACATCATCAAGGAAAGTAGTCCATATTCGGGATGGGAGTATTTCAGCCTTTGATCATGTGAAGAATCTGTATTCCAGATTGAGCTGACAATAATAAAAACTACTGATATCTGTTTGTTATTATTTTCTTTTCAGCATGAAACAGCTATGCATATGACAACTTTGCTGATTTAACCAATTGAGCTTCGAGGGAGCTGTGACATATGGATTTATTCTCTGTCTCACTGTGGTGGATCAGATAAACAAAGATTGGATGCTTAACATATTACATCTTTATCTTCATATCTGTAAGACAGCTCAGTCTCCAACCAAACTGACTAAGTCAACTTGTGTGTAAATATTACGCACAACAATGTTAAACCGCAGTGGAGGGAAAGAATGCTAGACATATGCGTTGCTAACATGTTCACATTTCATTTTTAAGGTATTTACAAAGCAGGCTTATAGTTTGAGGGAGGGGGTGGGTACATTGCACAGGCTCCATAGGGAGGAGGTGGCTCCATCATCTGTGGTGTAGCACTCCAGGTCGGTTCGGTGGAAGTTACTAATCCTTGAAATCTATAGCTGGAAGAAGCAGGTGGTTGTTTTCTACCTGAAAACTCAGGCAGGATGACAATAGGGAGTTTGATCTCTGGGTTGCCAGCAAATTTGATGTCAAGATAAATCTGTGGGGGACAAAAGAAAATGTGTTACTGATTTTTTGTTATTTATTTATTTGATCATTATAGCTGTTCATTACTGTCTGAAGTCTCATACTTTGCATGGTTTGCCTGCCATTAATTAAAAATCTACAGTAACTACTTTTCTTGCATTGAGTGTAGGGGATCATTATAGTCGTAGGATCATAGCAGATCAGGATCATAATGACTAACAATCAACATACCGTCTATAATCCTGAGTGGTGCTTACCTTCAGCCTGTACTCCAGCTTGATGATGGAGCAGTTTAAAATGGACGGGGGTAGATTTGTGGGGATGTTGATCACCTTGGTAAAAGTTGTCTTGCCAGAATGCTCTGTAGTCACCTCAGCTTTGTCTTTGAGGATCTTCTGTGTGTGAAGTTTCCTGCGACCCTGGGCAAAGTAACTCTTCTTCTCGTAAAGTTCAAATTTCGGCTTTACTGAACGGCTTGAGCGATTGTTGATTTTCACTGTGACTTGGACTGCCTCGCCTGAGAAATTAAAGAGGCTGCTCAGTTACAATCTTTATACATCAAAATATTATATGCAAAAAATCTGTTTAGGAGACAGTGAAGGTTTTCTGCAAATATTCAGGTGTGGGACCAATTCAGTGTCCATGCAGCAGTTATTCTTTCACTTTCTTCCCATTGTCTTGTTTTTCTCAGAAGCACCCTTTAAAATCAGGTCAGTGCTCAGACTAAAACAGTTTTAATCCTAAAAATCTGCTGCTCTTCTACACAATGTGGTCAGCCCGAAATAATCTTTTACCTGCTTTGTATCCCAGCTGCTTGGCGTAGACATCAAATGACACATCTCCAGAGCCAAAAGCAAGGTTTTTATCCTGGCACATATGTTGAGGCTCCTGAAAAACGGAATCCCCTTTTCATAAGTACGACAAAAAAAGAGTCTGTTTTGTATCAGGAACAAGATGCATCCTCTTCTTTCTTACCATGAGTCCTGGAGTATCTATATCTGCTTTGGACACAAAGGTGAAGTGGGCTTTTGCTTTTTTGGTTAGCTTCATAGACTGTTTAAGCTCTGCCTTCACCTTGTGGACAATTTTGCCAATGGATGTTTCGAAAGATGAAGGCATTTTTCTGTGCGATAAAGAAAAACATAAGATAAGAATCTCAAAAGAGTCAACGAGTAAATATAAATTCCAAAAGGAAAAAGCACCTGTCAGGTATGCTGAAGCTAAAAGGAAACACATGCCTTCCCTTTCCAATGACTTCAGTGCCTTGAATAGAAAGTGGTTAAGCATATTTCTACACGTCATTAAACTATGAACAATGACTATTTATTCTAATACGTTACCATCTTCTCTTGATTCTCTTAGGATATGTTGTTTGACACTATAATATTTCTCATCAGCCCAGTAGACGCGATGATGGTTTTGCCCGTAATATTCATGCCAGCAAACCCTAGCTTTCCCTTTGGCCATGAAGAGGAGAGACTGGATTTTTGTTTCTTTAGAGGTTTCCACGATGATCCTGCCATTGATGGTGTCTCCATTTGTGAAGGTGTTCTTGCTGTTGATGGCATCATATTCAATTTCAAAGCTTTTGATAGTCATTTCTAACAGAGCAATGTTAAACCACAAGCCGAAAGGGAACTTCAACCATGTAAGCTCAGCCCATTTTCTCTGCTGTATTTATATGTTGTATATCTAGCTAAACCTGTTTTACGTCATATTTTAACCCTAACACGTGCTTCCCATATATGGACATGAGGAAAAACATAGACTCCTGTAAGTAAACAAAACAGTATTTACTGTTTGTAAATTAATAGTTCCTGGTAAAATGATGAAGAAATTATTTTGTATTTCTTTTTTTAATCTTTTTTGATAGCCTGCTGTGGGCAGTGATTTACACCAGCCCTCTTCTATTCTGGGTTTCACATCAAAGGCTGTGCAGACTCATCGTCACATGATCTTTCTTCTGATTACTCAGTCATATTTTCCAGTTGTTATCTGATTCTCAGATTCTCTGTTATCTGTGTGCGATGTAATGAAAAAGAGATATATTACTGCTCATAGCTGCTTTCATAGCTCCTCTTTGACAGTAAAACTGTAATTTTACAGTAAAACTGTAATTTTACAAATTTTACTCTGGTAGCCAAGAAATTGACATTTCTTTGTCAAACTCACCTCGTGTTTTTGACAATGACAATAAAGGAAGTCTAAGTCTAAGTCTAAGTAATCCTCCAGGTGTGTGTGCATCAAAAGGTTGGCTGGACCTTTACCTCTTCTCCCAGCTTTATTTATTTCTCATCCATTCCCTTTATTTAAGCATTATTGTCCTTGTTCAAACAAAGCATAGAAAATACATTTTACCCTTTCTTCTTCTGCCAAAAATTAAGTATTGTTTAAACCAAACATATTTTATATTGGAGTGGTACACATCAGAAGTCTGGCCGTGCCTCTATGCCCATTTAACTTCAGCTTTCTTCTTGAGTTTAATGTACATGGAGGTGATGCAGCAGTTAGTGAACCTGTTGCTGTTATTCATTGCATTATAGATAACTTCTGGCCCTTTTCCCGTTGAATGACATCTTGCTACCGACCTGACATATATTCATAAGGAATATAGGGACACTACAACATTCAGGAAACTGAGCGGAACATTGTCCTAGTTTGGAAGATCTGCCTCAATCACAGTTGTTTTTATTGTATCGTAATAGATTTCTAAACATAAAACTAAAGGAAATCGTCTCCAATGTCAAACCAGGTTGATGTGAATAATCAAATATATTCAAATGATTTTAGATCACATGAGCACTCGGCAGTTCATCTGAATTGGTCAGTATACCATTTTCACAAATGCACACAAGATAATTATGTCTCATCAGCTTTGGCTTCATTTCTGGTGTCATTTGTCTCATTATTAATGGAGCCTATGTTGGTTTAACTTGCATGCTAACACAAGGCTCATGTTTTGATGTAGAAACAGTCAGAAGTTGTACATGCCTTTAACCACTTATGAGGATAGAGAGTTCATGAGGGATCATTGTGAGGGCAAATGAATGTTAAAGACTAATAACGCCATTTTAGTTGCAGCGCTTTGCTGCGTATTTGCCATGATTTTTCTCATCACCGCAACAAACAAATAGTAAGAGCAGGCAATTCAAATTATGGGGTGTGTCTAACCATGCTGATGAATTATGCAGACGATGCTCGATATGCAGAATTAATGTATGCTAAAATGTAGCTTGAGAACAGAACACTGATTTATATTGGTAAAAAATCTTTAATACACGGTTAATATATTTAACGTAGTATTTATCAATGTATAATGTAATGTGTTGGAAGATTTATAAAGAGTAACAATTATTACATTAATGCTGTTACACCCATCATGGGCAAGAAGTAAATGTGTAAAACACTTTGCAGGGCAAAATCAATCATAGAGGTTTCCACGATGATCCTGTCATTGATAGAGTCTCCATTTGTGAAGGTGTTCTTACTGTTGATGGCATCATATTCAATTGCAAAGTTTTTGATAGTCATTTCTAACAGAGCAATATTAAACCACAAGCAGAAAGGGAACTTGAACCATGTAAGCTCAGCCCATTTTCTCTGCTGTGTTTATTTGTAATAGCAGGCTTGCGCATCCAGTTAAACCAGTCTATTGCATCATATTTCCGCTTATGCTTTCCACATATGGTCAAGAGTAAAAGCTTTAAGACCTGTGTACACTTAGTTAAACGGAAATTTCAGAGTATTATGTTTAATTTGTAAACTGAAGGTTTCTGGAACACAACGGCAGTCCCGCTAGCAGGAAGTCTGCAACACTGTACTTCTTTCATTTGGTTTACAAATATCAAATATGCTAAGTCATTTTCCTGTGATCAGACTTTTCCTTATTGAAATTCTAAGTTAATTCAACTTCAAGGCCATCTTTAAACGAATGTGATGTTTGGATATAACATAGCAGTTTTATTTTCAACACATTCCTTAAGCTCATGTTTTTTTTATATTCTTTCCATTTTTGTGCACCTTTAAGAAGTTTTGTTATATTTTAATGATTTTTACAAGATTCATTATCCTTTGAGCCTGTGAAATGTTTTATAGGAACAATCACGCAATTAAACCTCTAATTTTGGTAGATGTCTAGTGTATATAACCAAAACCATTGTCAACCCCAGAAACTCCCAATAAAAAAATCACATCTCAAAAGTCTGAATTCAATACTTCTTATGGCATGATAATAATTTTAATCATCTTTATATTTCAGTCGACAGCTCAAAGCAGGCAAGGGAAAAAACTCCCATCAAATGCTCATATTTGTACTACAATACTTCATCAACAAAATGAGACGATATTTTGCAAGTATAACTAGTCATTATTAATCAAGAGGATTTTTTAAAATCCGTTTATTTAATCTTTTTGAAATGGTCAACAACCTTCTCAGCACCTTCACTGTTATTTATTTGTGAATTCATTCAGAGAAGGGTACATTGCATACGCCCCATAGGGAGGAGGGGGTTGGTCTGAGAACTGAGGCACCGCTGGAGGCTGTGGAGGTCCAAGGCCCCAGACCGGAGGGTTTGGGTTCCCGAGTGGTTCAAATCCAAAGCTTGTGGCCGCAGGTGGCGGGGCCAATGCCACAGCATAGGCTTGTGAGGCAGGCATAATGACTATATCAAATTTGATCTCTGGGTCTGAGGCATACTTAACATCAAGGTATACCTGTGGAAAATAAGATGCTGTTATTTCCTTGCTGTCTTCCTCTCAAAAAAATTTGTTTGACCATTTAAAACGTTTCACAAAGCCGACTTATAACTGAATTTGTTTTATTTAAGGAAGAAGTAAAGGAGTCATTAGGAGTTGTTTTCTCCTCCCACTTATTCTGAAATGGGCCTGGGGCTGTGGATTCACACTCTTTGTGCATGAACAACACCCAGAACAATAAAAGACGCACACATAGGAAAGGATTCAGCACAATCAGAAACAGTTTGTTGAGTAAGGTAAAGGGCAGGGAAAATCATATTTGATGTCATAAGAATTGCTATCGTAACTGATTCAAACTTTTTGAGGAGAAACACTTTTGCTACTCACCCTCAGTCTGTACTCCGCTTTTAGGATGCTGCAGTTGAGGATGGAGGGCTCTGCATCATGCGGAACGTTGATGATCTGCGTGACTTTTTCTGAGGTTGATGGAGGGATGGGTGCTCCCACCTCTTTGATAAGATCATACGTGTGGACTCTTCTCTTCCCCCTTGCGAAGAAGCTGTGCTTACTGTAGATGCAGTACTTGGGCTTGATCTCGCGTGATGAATCGTTCTTAATGAAGGCCAAAACCTTCAGCCCTTCTCCTGCGACGCAGAGCGAAAAATTAACAAACAAGCTTTGGTTTCAGTCCTGTATGGGGGCATTGTCACCTTGAGGGCTCTCACCTTGGTAGAAACCTGATTTTTCAAGATCCACATCCATGGCTACACTTCCTGAGGTAAAAAGTTTCATTTTCTTATCTTTAGACTCGTGCTGTGGTGTCTGAAAGATATTAAGATTAATGAGGACAGAATAAATCTAAGACATATCCAGAGGCAGGTAGCTCACGTGAGCAAACATGATGTGAAAACATGTTTAAAATGTTTTTTTAAATGCCAAGCTCATAAGCTGTGGGTATTACCGGGTGTGTATACATAGCATCAAACATGTCCCAGCAGGTAGCATAGGCTTCCAACAACCCATAAAGATATTTTTCCCGTTTCCAACATCAAGAGAGGAAATGTAAAACCATACCATCAATCCATATACACTGTTTATGGCTGCATTTGACACAAAGTTGATCTTAGTGGACTCTTTCTTGGCAATCCTCATTGATCGGCCCAACCTCGCCTCAAGCAGGAACTGAATTTTACCATCAGCTCCTTTGAAAGATGAGGGCATTTCCCTAAAGAAAATTGAAAAGCAAAAAAAGAAATAAATAACATCTAAAGAATGACATCCTTTTTTCTCCAAATTGATTTTGGGGAGATATTTGAGAAGTTTCCTACTGGGAGGGGATCTGAAAGGTGAACGGATAGACATGGACTCCAGGTGCCACTACACTGCAGTCTGAAAAAACAAACACACAAATAAGACAAAAAAACAGACAGATATTTGAACAAAATGTGCAGCAGCTGGTTAGTGAAAATGATTAGCGGTGTGATGAGGGGTTTAACCTCCTGAACAGCAGGTAAGAATTAGTGAGGCTAAGTGAAGAAATGGAGCTGGAAAAGACAAACGTGCAAGTCTTTCCACAAAAAGCAAGAAAGCTTCATGTGAAGATGTCAAATACTTACATGTTTCGGGATTGTGTATCACCAGTGCTTTTTCATCATCTATGCAAGAAAAAAACAAACAAAAGTAGAAGGCAGTGACCCACTATTACTATAATTACTTTATTTTCTCCACTGCGGTTAAAATAAGAAACGCATTGACTGAAAAAGCTGATACACCTGGAACAAAACTCTTGGGTTAATTGCACTTGACTACCTGTAAAACAGCCACAAACCCACGCGCACGCAGGAGCAACAGGAAGTTCAGCGCGTGTACCCAAAGCAGAAAACTGTCACAACAACTTCCTAACGTTTAAACAGAGAGCAGGAAGCTGAGTTACCCTTGATATTTTTGTCGCGAATGAAGTATTGCTTAATGCTGAAGTATTTATCTTTGGAGTGGTAAACAACGGTAACCTGGCCGTGCCTCTCGCTCCAAAGCACCTCAGCCTTCCCCTTGAATTTGATGGACAGGGAGTCGATCTGGCAGTCTTTGGCCACTTCCAGCGTGACCTGGCCGGTGACGATATCCCCGTTGGTGAACGTGTTGCTGTCATTTATGGGGTTGTAGGTAACCTCCAGCTTCTTCACGGTGGTCGACATGTTTTTCGGTGGAGTCAGACAGAGCGAGGGCTCGGAGGGGCGGAGCGGGACCTCTATCAGCGCCGGGAGACGGAGGGTGTGTCCCGGCCCTCCTCCTCCTCCCAGCCCGGGGCGCCCCGGGGGTTGTTTTCCTGGTCAAACTAAACGTAGGTGCCTAAGAGTTTGTTGGTTTGTTTTTTTAAGAAGAAGAATATCCTTTAAAATATCAGCAAAGTGAGAGAAAACTATCATTAAATTGTATTCAAGCGACTTATGATGATTAACCAAAGGGTTTTGCCATAGACGTCACAGGAAGTCTGCCTTTAATTACAAAAGTAAATAAGTTTAAAAAAAATTAATGAATAAACAAACTTTTCTATGAGATCTTATGTTGGTGTTTGTGCATTTTTGTGTTTGGATGAAACAACTTCTTGGCTGATGCTAAACAGGCTTAAATTCAAAGTGCACAGCTGTAATTAATAATGGTAACAAGTGGAAAACATCAGGGTAAGAGAAAATGGTTCATTGTTCTCCTGCTTGAATGATGGTAACCACCAGAGGAACCTTGATTAATAGAAATACACACATTTCATTTCAAGATCCACTAGAAGGCCTCGTGGCTCAATGGTTGTGCTGTGGTTTGGACAAAAACTGATACGTGAAATGTTTAAATGATCAAACACAGAAGAGGTTTATGGCACAGAGATACTATGTCTGATTTTAATTGTATAGACTTTTATTTAACATGTGGTAAATCTTAGTTGACAAATTTGATCCCAATTATTTGCAACAACACAATGCTAATGTCAGTTTGCAAGACTGAAAGAAAAAATGTAAACATAAAAAATGAAGGACATTGTGAAGCAATCCTATGATAGAGGATAGAGTATAATAGAAAAAATTATACCAGACTCAGCCCACCCAAAAAAAATTGAACATAATGATGAATATCAGGCTGTTTCTAACGCTTGTTACAGTACATCTCAGATTATTATACCTGTCAGGTGCCATTTCACACTAACACAGGAGTGTTGAAATGCCACCAACATTTCAAATCCTCAAATATCCTAAAACAAACAGATAATTAAACAAAAGACAAATTTTAATAGTGTTGTAATTTTTAGAACAACAGGAATTAAATAATAGGTAATTTCATCATTGATAACAGACGAAAGAGCATGTACTCTCAAACCTTGAGGGTTTTAGGGCTTTACGTTCAAACCAATCAGGGAGGGATACACCCCATAGGACATGTAGGCCGGTGGAGCAGAAGGGACAGAGTCTGTTGTGTTTTGAAAGTAGCTTGCTCCTGATGCAAAAACGCTGGGGAAAGTTTCAGATCCAAAATAAGGAGGAGGATGCTCCCCATCAGACCCCTCCAAAGCTGGCAGGATGACAATATTGAACTTTATCTCTGGGTCTGATGCAAACTTGACATCCAGATAGACCTGTGGAAGAGAAATGTTCAGAGTTGATCTCAAAGTTCTGCAGTTCTGTTGGTGTGGACATCCGGGTCTATGCTGATACCAACCCTGAGTCGGTACTCTGCTTTGATGATGTTGCAGTTTAAAATGGAGGCGCAGGTGGTGGCGGGGACTGTGATGAGCCTGGTGACAGTCTGACCTGCAGATCGTGGGATGGCTTCACCAACCTCTTTCAGGATATCCTTTTTCTCAATCTTCCTCTTCCCTTTTGCAAAGTAGCTGTACTTCTGATACAAGCAGTACTTAGGCTTAATGTCACGGGATGACTTGTTCTGAATGGAGGCCACAACCTGTATGCCTTCGCCTGAAATACAGACAACCACCTCTCCCATGTGAGTAGAAGGAGGAGAACTGTTCATCAAGAGACGTAGCTAAAAAAAAAAATGTTGTTCTCCATTTGAAAAAAACACTTTATGTTGTGTGTGCTTATGAAAGGAAAGCTTTTAGAATTTTGTGTTGTCTGAAACTAAATGTTAGTAGCAGTTTTGTAAGACCATTTAAATTATATTCAAAAGCGCATTAGAAAACCACTTCTTTTCAAAGCTCTTTTAATATATAATTTGAACAGGAGCAAGAGATAAAAATTAGAAAAAGGATTGTCCACTTTTCACTGAAAATCATAAGTAAAGATCTGACCTGGAACACAACTGGAAAATATGTGTCACTAGTAGTCTTTTACACGTGTATTTAGCTTATCTTTAGACCAATAAAATGTTCCATGAGCAAGTGGACTTTGTGAGGCACATGACTCCCATGCTGGAAAAGTTTTTTAAATCACAGATCACTGTAATAATAATCATGTTAGATGGGACACAATAAAAAATTACCTTGGCGGAACCCTGTGTGTGGAATGTTCACTTCCATGGCCACCTCTCCTGAGGTGAACAACCTCATCTTCTGATCTATCATACTGTGCTGGGGAATCTAAGAAGGAAATCACAGTGTTGTTACAGACGTCATCTACCTTTTTACTGCTATTTGACATCTGTTGTCTGTAAAAGTGTTTTCTGTTTCTCTCTGTCATGAGCTTGTTGAGTGTGAATATGGGGGTACCATCAGCCCTGGGTCACTTTTTAAGGATTCTTTGTTGATGAAGGTGAACGGTGCCTTGGCTTTGCTGTCCATTCTCATTGACCTGCTTAAATTTCCCTCCAATGTGTAGACGATCTTTCCAAATTTCCCGCGGAAGGAGGATGGCAAGTCTCTAGTAAATGTAAGCAACAGAAATTCGCAGGCAGCAGACTTAAAAGTGTTCTGTCTTAAATTCAACAGAAGGAAGTAAAAAGAAAGATAACTCACCCTGTAGGGATCTGCAAGGTGAATGGGTAGACATGGCAGCCTTTTCCAATCAAATTGTTGCCTTCAAAGTCATGAAAACCATTGATTTATATTGGTATTTAGAAGTTACTAAAAGGTATTTAGAAGTAGATCCTTTAAAATACCCATTACATCTTCTTGGGCAACAATGAATTTTTCATTCAAATGGAAGTTTATTTTGCATTCTGAATATGACCAGATTAGGAATATAGCTCAATTTAAAAATAATCTTCTCTTATCATGACAGCACACATTTCCTATCAGTTTGAATGGGTAAATGCCACTTAAAAACCTTATGCCTGATCAGACCTTAAAAGTTTAAATGGTGAAACCAAACTTTATTAAAAATTATGTTCCCTTTTACACCTACCCAAAAAGTTAATTCTGCTTATTAAATGTATTTCAAGTGTACAACTATCCTGATAATATGAAAGGGAAGCATGGTAAGAAAGCTTGGTAGAAATTGAAAGAGAAGTCCTTTCAAAGATTGTAAATGGTTCATTCATGTGTGAGATAGAGATGGGTTTCTATACTACAGGTAGATCACTTACCTTGGCCCTTTGGAATAAGAAACTGCTTGATACTGAAGTACTTTTCCTTTTTGTGATATGTTACCACCGTTTTTCCATGATGTTCAGTCCATTTCACCTCTGCTTTTCCCTTCAGCTTTACGCAGAGTGCCTCTATTTTGCACTCGTTTGTTAATTCTAGTGTAATTTTCCCTGCGATATAGTCACCACAGGAGAAAACATTATTTTTGTTGATGGGATTATATTCCACTGAGAAGCTCTTAACATTGTTTTCCATGGTGCTGCGGGCAGAGTTGCACAGCAACCTGGTGCGACAACAGGGTGAAAGGCTTGTATATGAGGAGGTGTGTCCAAACATGCAACCAGGTTATCTGGTAAAAAATTAAACCACCTCCATAAAACATGCATTTTCCACTGGATATAAACAATATAATGTGCGATAAGCATTATAAATCTTCCTTTCACAGGTAGGCATAGGTGTACATAATTAGAAAAACTATGAGACTTAAGAACTAAAAATCTGAAGCTTGGATAAAAGGTCATACCAGTGGTTCAATATCACTGGCAGCATATGTGGCCACACACAATGAAAGGTTCTACCAGAATGGGTGTGTCTGAAACCTTTCACACACATCAATGGCAGCAAACGCGTGTCTAAAACATGTTGGTGGAAATATTGAGTTGATACTTCAAGGAAAGTTCATCCAAACATTTGCAAATTTGAAAAGTGAGGGGAATAAAAGCTTTGCTAAATATGTGCTTCACTCCAGGTTGCAAGACAAAGTATAACACACAGAGAAGGGACAATGACGTTGTGAAAAAAAATTGACATTTTAACAAAATGTGCAGTTATTTAGTCAGTGCAGTGAAGTTTTCTGACATGTCTGAATTTCTTTATCTGTTGATCTTCGACTTTGACTGAACCCTATCCCAGAGACAGGGTTCTTGCCAGAGCTCATTGGGAAATGTATCAACTATATGCAGATATTGTGATGATAGATTTTTCTTATTATTGCATTTACTTCTTAACTGGGTTAAGGTGTCCATGCCTGCATAATTTCTAAATAGTGTGTGCAGTCTTGTCCTTCTCATATCCAGCTGAAGCATTAGATGATGTAAGACGTTTTGGCATCAAAGGCATTTTTTAATTACAATTTTCCCCGGCCTCTTTAAGAGAAATATAGCCCCAAAAAATGTAACACTGGACCACAGCCAGACACTGATAAACTGATCATTTTAATCTTTATCAGCATTTCGTACACTTTACGTTCACGTTTATCTTAAGTGCTGAACATCAATCATTTTAAATAGAACTGAGCATGTACAGCTGTCATGATACATTTGTAAGTACAATCTGATTAGATTAGTTAAAATATTGTCTTTAAAAAGACAATTAGTAAAACATTTTCCAGAATACATAAATATAACCGGCCACAGAATTATGAAAGTGAAAACACAGCTCAACACAGTTCAAATGAGTAAAAAACAGGAAGAAGAATAATCTGTAGAAATGTAATGACACGCTAAAAAAAGGACATTTAAATAAAAACATACAAAAAAGAAAACGTTATTACACAGTTCCTATACAAAATAAATTTGGACCCTTTAAGTTTCTAACTGAGTCATAAGGCACTTTGTACAGAGAGCCTGATAAATACTGCCTGAATCTCCCCACAACAAATCACACCTCCGTACCACAGAATGTCTCTTTTTTGCTTTGAGTAAATCACCATTAAAAACCTGTACACATTTCACACATCTACTCACTGGAAAGCTGGGGCACCGGTGTATGCAGATGTATCGCACAGTATGATAGGGCACAGCACGGTAAGGTCATGGGAACCTTTTACAAAGAGACTGACCTGCAGGGGGGAAAAAAAACAAAAAAAAACATGAGAGTCTGTTAAGGAAAATAGTCATCACCCTGCACGTTTCCCTACAAAACCTCCCTCTCAACTCCTGTCAAACTGGACCAAAACATAAATGACATCATCCTGGTTGCTCAGTCAGAGCAGAGTTCTGAGGGCCACACCAACCTCTAAATCGTAGTGAACATCAATGATGCTGCAGTTGGAGATGGAGAGGCAGGCAGACGGCGGAATAGTGAGCAGGATCTCGGTGTGCACAGTCGGAGTGTTTGCACCCACAGGATCCCCGGTGGTATACGCCAACGATTTGCACAGCGTTCTCTTGTTGGCGTGATTGTGAGTGTAGAAAGTCTGGCTCTGCTGCAGCTTGACTTTAGGCGTGGCTGTTCTGGTGGAAGCGTTGCTGAACTTGCAGATTATTTTAGCAGTTTCTCCTGGGAGATAAAAGCAAACAGAGCCTTTTAATGGGACTAGCCCACTGTCTATCTAATTTCATTCTCCTTTATCAGCATCATCCATATTCCATAAAATGGATGAATGGCTGGAACAAAACCATACCAGGGGCGAAGGCTTTCTTCTCCACAGTGACGGTCATTGTGATAGGACCAGAGGAACACCACAGGCAGCACAGAGTTTTGCTGTTAGAGCCTGAGAGTGGAGCCTGCAGAAAAAAAAAACTGTTAGAGCTGCAGCAGAGGACTAAAGTAACAAACATGAATGGATGATGGGTTTTTAATTTAGACATGTATATATCTATCTTCATATGCTTGTTCAAGTACACAGAAGTGGAGCATGATAATTCCAGCTGTCTATTTAACTGAATCTAAACTAACAATTAGGTCCTTAGTTCTTCAGGTGTAGTAATATAACTAACTTAAATTTTTTAACAAACAAAGAAAAATCTTTTTCCATGTAATTTTCTTGCATGTAAAGGGAAATTATACAATTTTTGAAGTGCTCAGAGTAGGAATAATGCGCTTAGTGAAGGAAGTGTTTTGAGTGGTGAGAAGTTTATTTCCCCCTTCAATAACAAAGTTTCTTTCCTCTGGACTTCTAAATAGAGCGGCCATCTCTTTTCCATTACAGCTTCATCCAATTTAGGGTCCCAGAGTGGGCCTAAACCTATCCCAACTGTGGTGAGAGGTGGGCTACGCCCTGGACATGTCACCAGTCCATCACAGGGCCACGCAGATGTGTGTTTTTTTAGATAGGACAGGACCACCTCGTTGTGAGGTGTGAGGCATAGTCAGCACATCTCATCGAGGTATGTATGATGAATAACTTACCCACAGCTCTGGCTGGTTGGTATTAATGTGGTTCACAAAGTTCAGCTCTGTCACAAAATCATTGGACATGTGCCAGGGTCTGTTGATGCCCACTGTTATGGTGTACAAAATCTCTCCATGAACCCCACGGAAGGATGACGGAAAGTCTCTGTATTGGTGTGAAACGATAACAACAAAAATAATGATGAATATAAGGAAGCCTGGGAACAAAATATTTATACACAGGACATGAATAATTAAAAAAAACATCAACAGACTCAGATTTGATCACTCTATCATCTGGTTTTTCCACACACTGTCTTATCCCAACCAGCATCTGATGTTGGCTTCCTATTCACAGCTCCCCACCTGTGAATGGAAGGGATGAGCATAGAGGGTAGTCTCACTGCTCTCCTCCCACATGCAGATCCCAGTAGTTCAGCTTCAGGTTTAGGAGACGCACTGCTCAAATCTGCTTTGAATAGTTCTAAATTGGGTATAGAACAATGAAAACATACTTTTTGGTTCATGTAAACCTTTTTCCAATCTGTGAAAGTTGCTGGACTATGGACACTGCACAGTGGTTGTGGAGGTGGGCACCGTCCCCCCATAGTTTGAGTCCCAGCAGTGTGGCGGTGGCATGTTCCCCTCGGGTTACCGGCTTCTTCCAGCTGTCCAAAGACATGAGCGTTAGATTAACTGGTGACTCTGTATCGACCAAATGAGTAAATGTGCTGGGGTTGTCTTTGGAGGGCATGTTAAGCCCTGCAAACCCTCATTTTTGTCCAGTAACAGCTGGATTAGACTCCATGGGGGGGAAAAAGGTGTGAGATTGCCCTTTATATCCATCACTTTGTAAAACCTTGAACCGGAAGCCAACGTCAACGTCGTGTGACCAATGATGGAGACAAATGAGACTAAATCTCCAGAGAGATTGACATAGTTCATCATACCCACCCCCGGGGCAGCTGGAGTGAAATGGGATACATGTGCGTGCCGGGCTGAAGTTTGGGCGTCCCACCAACAGCTGCATAGGAAAACACCAGGTCAGAGATTTGTGGTAAAGGAACGTCCAAACGAGCTCGGGATTTGCGCTTACCGCAGTTTTCCTGCATGATGACGCCTTTGTGATTGAAGAACTCAATGTTTGCATGGTAGTGTTTCCTTCGGCGGCGCCCTTTCCTCCCACCTCCTCCTCCAGTGGACCAGTGGACCTTGGCGTGTCCCTTCAACTTTATGGTGAGGGATGTGATCCGTGTTTCTTTGGTGAGGTCGAAGGAGAGGTGTCCCGTGACGAGGTCGCCGCTGGAGAAGGTGTTTCTCCCATTTAACATGTTGAAACTGATGTTGAAATTTCTGATTCTCTGTTCGAACATTGCTAATTATCTCAATTGCCTGATTTAAAAAAAAAGTTAAAAAAGAGGAATGTGGAACTGTCCTTTGGCTGTAGAAGAGATGGCGGGTTAAACTATACACATATTTACATATATGTCTATGGGTTAAACTACTTTTAAAGTTGGCTAGCGTAAATGGTCCAGCCGAATCTGTTCCTAACAATGGTCTGCGCATGCGCAGAGCAGCCCAGCCTGTGATAAGGCGGAGCCTCCGTCTAGCCAAGCCGTCTCGTTTCTAATAGCTGCTTTTGTTGTTCAGCAAATAACCAGGAAAACGTATTACTGATCATTTAACTGTTGTATCGACCGTTCTAAAAGTTGCAACACCTGAGCATAAGATTTACAGCAAAACAGGCGACAGAACATGTCATTTGAAAGAATAACAAGTATAGTTTGAAGATAACCTTGCCTGGAAATCATACATAACTAGCACTACTCTGAAATAATGGTGAGAAAAGTCTAAAGCATTCATAAACTTTACAGCCTTAATGTATTTTTTTTATTATAATTTATTCTTATCAGATAAGATACTATGCTGCTGCTTTTTGGGTTTATAATTAATTTAGGTATAAGTAAACTTTATGTAGGTAGCTCTTCTGACACAAAAAAGTGCTTTACAATCAAATGCATAACGTTTTGATATAACACAACAGATAAAATAATCTTCAGCTTCTGAAAAAAGTCCACAGAATCAGAGCACCTGAGGGAGGCTGGGCCTTCCAAAGTTTCAGGACCACTGCCCCCCCCCCCCCAAAAGAAATGGTCTCTTTGAGTGTGAAAATGGTTTATGATGGTGAATCAGATTTTTAACAAAAAATGTAAAAGCTGCACAGCTACATTCTGTTCAGAGTGGATATCTGCATATAGATGGTAGGACACCGTTCTTCACCGTGCTTGATCATGTTACCTCGCTGAAGTAAATATAAGAGGAAACAACAAACTGTGAAGGTGTAAAGAGTCCAAGTAGGGCTTTTTTTTAAATTGGTTGTACCACCCTGTTAAAACATAAATGTAAAAAAAAATCAACAATACAAGGGCTGATGGATTTTAAAATGTCTAACGGGAAGATGGAAGGTTTCATTTTATCAAGCAGAACAGACACTCCAGTCAAAGATAAAGGATTAATGGAGGACCATGTGTGAGGGGGGATTAGATGCTAAATTATAAAGTGACGGTGATGAGATGTTCCCTCTGATGGTCTACTCAACAAAGAAAGCAAGGAGGGCAATGCTGTCTGCTTGAGAGAAAACCAAGAGTTTCAGAGATTACAGAGACACTAAGGAGGTAGTGGTGTCAAATAAGACTTTGGAGGATTTCTTATTCAAGGCTTTTAACTGACAGAACTTCAACATTTATTTTCATGTGTCAACATAATACCGTGGACATTATCCGAATACAGATTTACGAGTTTAGAATTGAATTTGTAGCTTTTTTTTGCAACTTTTATGTAAAAGTTGCAAAATAAAACAATAACCAAACTGGAGTAAACTGGACTGTAGTTTATGAAAGGCCAATTCAAGATTACACTGCAGTGTTAAGGAACCATACAAATGGTTTGTCAATGTTTATCTTGTTTTTGTTGTTAACATCATTCTAAATGCTTTGGCTTTAGCATTGTAACCTTTAAAGTACCTGCTTTAAATGTTTACACAGACAGACATTATCGTGAGAAGCTGGATGGTGCTTGATGTCTATTTAGTCTGTGTAGCAACAAGGAATTTCAATTGATTTAGTTGATCATCTTAAATCCTTCCTCCTTACACCACCAGATGGCAGTCAATACTTGACTGTGGCACCACTCACACCATATCCTTTAAATTTACAAAACCGTTGGTGGGTGGGGTGGGGGGGCTGATCTGAGAAGGTGTGACCTATGAAAACTGAACATATCGACATCAGCACTAATAATTACAAACCATAAATGTTTTCTTAAGGCGTAAATCCATTGTCAACTCTGGGAGCATGCCACAAAATGACAATTTAGACATAAAGTTGTGTTAGGCTTTAAGCGTTTTTATAGCCCATTGACAGCTTTATAGCGCACAATACGGTCATAAAATACTATGAAAGTAATATTAAAACTGACAGCACACGGCATTTGAAAGCCTTGGCAAAGATAAACATTGTGCATCACTTCTCATACCTGATGGCTCGCCTTGTGATGAAAGACATGACAATTTGATCTTATTTATTTTAAAAGTAGACAGGCACAACAAGATACCAAAATTACTTAGCTTGTTTAAGTGTTTATGTTATAAATAGAAGCCATGCATCACTCACTATAAGATAGTTGCCCTTTAATAGTACATCCACTGCAGACCTGCATGGGGAAATGACTGTATTTAACCCCAGTGAAACGACAGGACCATGGTTGTTTATGCAGATTATTGTGACAAACTTGCGCAAAAGACAATTTCGAACAAATTTGAGTACTGTCTTATAATGACACCTATCAGATTTAACACAATTTATGGTGAGTTGGAGGTAACTGCTTTCACAGGCCTATTTTTTATCTATATATCTACTTCCTTATCTCAAAGATATCACACCATATTCTTAATTTAATCATCCAGGCTACAGCTATTGGCACTCTGAAGGATCCAACTGGTTGATACAGAATGTTTCACCTATTATTAAAGCTACTATAAACCTGTGAGCATTCTACTATTAGATTTTAAATTGAATTCCCCCTCCAAATCTTTGTGAGTGAGTTCCTATTCTATCTGTGCTCACAAATCATGGCAACCCAGTTAATTGTTGTTCAGAATATAGAAGCTATTTCAATTAGTCAGATCTAAATCCAAAGTGAAGTAAAAGAACCCAAAGGATAAGCCGCATTATTGATCTGTACTTTCTACACGTCAACTCTCTTCTCCCGGTAATCCACAGGGTAAGCTCTAATGACAATGAGGAGCTCCCTGGCAGTCGGGACTGCTGGCATTTGCACTTTAGATGGATGAAAAGGAGAAAAGGTGGAGGATGTGTGTTAAGAATTATGAGCGGGGAGGAAGAGACAAGAAACTTGAAGGGAGTGACAGTGTGTGGGGACATAAATGTGGCAGTACACTTAAAATGGAGTTGATGTACGTGACTGACAGAGGGAGAATATTTTGAAGATGTTTTTTTGGCCTATTATCACCTTTTTCCACTGTAACATTATAAACCAACATGACACGAATAACATTTTCATTGATGGAAAGATACAAGTCAAAATCAACTTTGTTTATGAACATACTTAAAAAGAACTGCTTGCTGACCAATGTGCTCTTTGCTAAAAAGCACTCAAGGCATTACAAAAACATTACACAATAGACAAAACCATATACAAAAACTTAAATTAATAAATAAAATAAACAAATTATAATTTCATAACTGACATAGGCTACAAGAAATCAAATTGTGTTTAAGATCACTCTTTTTAATGTACGAATGAATTTCTCCCTTTTTATTATTTTAATATGAAATTTGAATACTCAAAACAGATTATATGAAAAGGTAATGCGGGAAAATGTCAAGTTGTGCTTTTTATTAGCTCACGATTCATACTTACAAAATATGGAAATTATTTCTCAAATAACATCAGACAAAAATAATGGAAACGCAATAACTAATTACTTTAACAAGGATGAGCAAGAAGTCTGAAATACCAACTAAAATCAAAATAAGACCTTTCATATATGATTACATAACTGCAAGTATTTAGTTTGAATATCACATGAGGCCAGTGTAGAAAGGGAAGGGTTAAATATGTTGAATTTGTGCAGTTGTGTTCTGTTTTTTTTCTCTTTTTTTCTGACATTAAAAGAATTCCTGCAGCAAAACAGGAAGCCACAGAGGGAGCAGTTGGCAGTCCTAATCTTGTGCAGATCCTCCGATAGCTTTCTTCTTCACAAACAATGCTGGTCAGGACTGAGGAGGCTCCTGAAGGGTGCTGAAAGACCCGACAACCAGGCAGAACCAAGCTCTTTGTCAGCTTCTGTCTGATCAACACTCAGACATATTCATTTAGCTCCAGGAAAAGATGGTGGTAATCCACTTGAAAACAGTCATGCGTCCCAATGCTTCACATCCTTGTTTTTTTTCCTTCTATCCGTGTTTCCTTTCCATTTCCAGCATTGTGCATGGACAGTGGCTTATCTCTGCCTGGTTTTCCAAACACCGTAACTTTTCAAATTTTATCCATACACTCATTTTTCTCTCTTTTTTCTAAAGTTCTCCTTTTGTGTGCGAGACAAAATGCCTTCGAATGAGTCTGTTGATTCTGCAAAAGCCTGTCCCCCTATAACTTTTACATTATGTGAATCAGACAATGAAGTCAACCTGTTTGGGGTTTCCTCAAAAGTCTACACAATGAAGTCACAGTGAAAGAATGCTTTCTTAAAAGAGCATCTCAGTTTGTGGTGTTTCTGTCTGTGGCCAGACTTTAAGAGCTGCAGCCACCATGATGTCATTGACCGCAGAGACAATACTGCAGCTAATGAGCTGCGAGCCGGACAGCGTTGTAATCAGACTCAATGAAATTAAATAGAACGACACAATCACATGCCATGCTCATGTTTGAAGGATGTGTCAAAAAGAGTACTGCTTTCAGAGTATGAGTGTTACCTTGGTAAGACAAAAAAGGTGCTTTGTTCCATTATCATTCTAAATCCTCCCTAAGCAATTACTGTTCACCTTCCAAAGACCTCGGCGAGGAACAGAGCAACGCTCTTTCTTTTAAAGCAGGCAGTGGAGCATGAAGGCACAGGCACTCCTCAGGAAAAGCCAGATCACTCTTCTTTTTCAGCTGACTGTAACTTGAGCTTAAAACCTAATGTTAGATTCTCTATACATCTACAGCACAGTTTGTAGTCCAAACGACCGTCTAGAAAAGGTCAATGGAAAAAGACAGTGTTTTTTTCTCATTTGCAACTATATATCATACAATTCCGGATATGTTTATCAGGCATAATAGCTGTGAAAATTTCTAAAAAAAACAAAGA